AAAAAAGACAAAACATTGGTTAATTTGATTTTGAAAAACCAAATTACTAGTATCAAAGATGAAATGGCTGAATATAATATCAATGAAGAGGAAATTAAAGCAATCATTAGGAGTGACTTTGCTCAATTACATGCCAATAAATTTGAAAATTTAAGTGAAATGGAAGAATATTTACATAAATATAAATTGCTCAGATAAACAGAAGAATAAATAGAATACTTAAATAATCCTCTCTTAGAAAAAGAAATTGAACAAGCCCTCAATGAGGTCACTAAGAAAAAATCCCTAGGACTAGATGGATTTACAAGAGAATTCTACTATGTATTTAAAGAATAATTAATTCCAAACTATATAAACTATTTGGAAAAACAGGTAAAGAAGGGGTCCTAGAAATTTTATTTCATGACATGAATATAGTTTTGATACCTAAACAAGGAAGAGAAAAAGCAGAGAAAGAAAAGTACAGACCAACTTCCCTAATGAATATCAATGCAAAAATTTTAAATAAAACACTAGCAAGGGGATTACAACAATATATCACAAAGATCATACACTATGACCAGGTGGGCTTTATACCAGGAATGCAGGGCTAGTTCAATATTAGGAAAACTATAAGCATAATTGACCACACTAATAACAAGACCAACAAAAATCACATGATTACCTCAATAGATGCAGAAAAAGCTTTAGACAAAATGCAACACTCATTCTTATTAAAAACACCAGGAGGTGTTTTTATCAAAAGGGCAAAGTACCAATTACTTATTTACAACTGCTCAACTAAGTGGAGGCCTCTATCCAGACTACCAGTTATGACTCGATATTTATAAACGATTAACTGTGTAAAGCAGGTTTAAATGTCTTCCATGTTAATGTCTTAAAGAGACTCAGAAACTACCAGCCATCAGAACTAGGCTTTTCTGCCAATAATGTTGCGTGGTAAATTTTTCATTGCTTCAGATGTGGTGGTAAGAGCTTTTTACTTCGTGCCAAGAATGTTTTCTTACAGGATTCTATGTTTCTATTGAAGTTTTCACTAACAAGGAGATTCTACTTTGGAGTAAACTAAATCGAAAGCAGATTTGTTTTCTTTTCTTTTCTTTTTTTGTGAGGCAATTGGGGTTAAGTGACTTGCTTAGGGTCACAAAGTTAAGTATCTGAGGCTGGATTTGAACTCAGGTCTTCCTGACTCCAAGGCTGATGCTCCATCCATTGGGCCACCTAGCAGCCCTGGGAGATCGGTTTTCTACTAATTTTTCATTAATGGCAAGCTTCTTTATGTAAAATAAATTTACTGTGAATTGAAAAAAAAAAACAAAACCCAACACCAAGAAGTATAGGGATAATTGGAGCTTTCCTTAAAATAACAAGTAGTATCTATCTAAAACCAAGAGCAAGCATTATCTATAAATTAGAAGCCTTCCCAATAAGATCAGGAGTAAAGCAAGACTGTCCATTATCACCACAATTATTCAATATTGTACTAGAAATGTATCTATAGAAATAAGAGAAGAAAAAGACACTGAAAGAATTAGAATAAGTAATAAGAAATCGAAACTATCACGCTTTGCAGACAGCATAATGGTATACTGAAGAGAATTCTACAGATCAACCAAAAAACTAGTTGAAATAATAATTTTAGTAAAGTTGGGAAAATAAAATAAACTCACACAAATGATCATTATTTCTATATATTACCAACAAAGTCCAACAGGAATAGACAGAAAGAGAAATTCCATTTAAAATAACTGCAGACAAGCTCTTTTTGTGGTAGCAAAGAAATGGAAATTGAGGGAATGCCCATCAACTGGGGAGTGGCTGACCAAATTGTGGTACATGATGTAATGGAATACTATTGTGCTATAAGAAATGATGAGCTGGCAGATTTCAAAAAAACCTGGAAAGACTTACATGAACTGATGCTGAGTGAAGTGAGCAGAACCAGAAGAACATTGTACACAGTAAAAGCAACACTATTCGATGATCAGTTAAAATAGACTTAGTTCTTCTCAGCAATACAATGATCCAAGACAATTCCAAAAGACTTGTGATGGCAAATGCTAACCACATCCAGAGAAAGAACTAGGGAGTCTGAATGCAGATCAAAGCATACGTTTTTCATTTTTTTTTTTTGGTGATTTTCCCCTTTTGTTCTGTTTCTTCTTTCACAACATAACTAATGTGGAAATATGTTTAACATGATCACACATGTATAACCTACATCAGATTGCTTGCCATCTTGGGGATGGGGGGGAAAGGAGGGACAGGGAAGGGAAAAAATTTGGAACTAAAAATCTTATAAAAAATGAATGTTAATAACTATCTTTACGTGTAATTGGAAAAAAAATACTATTTAAAAAATAACTGCAGACAAAATAAAATACTTATGAGTCTACCTGCCAAGACAAACCCAGTAACTACATGAACATGATTACAAAACACCTCTCATACAAATAAAGACAGATTTAAATAACTGGAGAAATATAAATTGCTCGTGGGTAGGCTAAGTCAATATAATAAAATGTCATTTCTACCTAAATTAATTTACTTATTCAATGCCATACCAATCAAACCAAAGACTTATTTTATAAAGCTAGAAAAAATAATAAAATTCATTTATAAGAAAGGTCAAGAATATCTAGGGAATCAATGAAAAAAACTATGAAGGAAGACATAGTCCAACAGGAATAGACAGATTTCAAACTACATTACAAAATGGTAATCACCAAAACAATCTGATGCTGGCTAAGAAATAGAGTGGTGGATCAATAGAACACATTAGGTATGTAATACATAATAGAAATGACTACAGTAATCTAGTGTTTGATAACTCAAAGATCCAAATTTTTTCGTCAAGAACTCACTATTTGACAAAAATTGCAGGAAAAACTGGCAAACAATTTAGCAAAAACTAAGTCAAGATCAACATCTCACACTGTATATCAGGATAAGGTCAAAATGGGTATATCATTTAGCCATAAAGGGTGATATCATAAGCAAATTAGAGGAGCTTGGAAAATTTTACCTATCAGATCTATAGATAAGGAAAGAATTACGACCAAACAAGAGAGAAAGATTATGGGAAAGAAAATGGACAATTTTGATTAAATTTAAAAGATTTTGAACCAACAAAACCAATGCAGCCAAGATTAGGAGGAAAACAGGAAACTGGGAAAAAATCTTACAGCAAGTGTTTCTGATAAAGGTCTCATTTCTCAAATATAAAGGAAACAGAGCCAAATTTCTAAAAATAAGAATCATTACCCAATTGATAAATGGTCAAAGGATATAACAGGTAGTTTTTGGAAGAAGAAATCAAAGCTCTATAAAGTGAAATAAAAAAAATGCTCTAAATCACAACTGATTAGAGAAATGCAAATTAAAACTACTCTTGAGGTACCAACTCATACCTATCAGATTGGCTAACATGACAGAAAAGGAAAATGACAAATGCAGAAGGGGACGCAGAAAAATAGGGACACTAATGCACTGCTGGTGGAATTGTGAACTAGCCCAGCTATTCTGGAGAACAATTTGGAATTATGCCTAAAGGGCTTTCTGTAAAACTGTGCACATCCTTTGACCTAAGGATCAAACTACTAGGTTTGTATCCCAAAGAGATCTAAGGAAAAGGACCTATTTACAGTAACTGTTTCTGTAGTGGCAAAGAACTGGAAATTTAGGGGATGCCCATCAATTGGGGAATGGCTGAACAAGTTGTGGTATGTGATTGTGATGGAATACTATTGTGTTATAAGAAATGATGAGTAGGATAGTTTCAGAAAAACCTGGGAAGACTAATGTGAATTGATTCAAAATGAAATAAGCAGAACAGGAGAATACTATACACAGTAATATCTAAATTGTAAGGATGATCAGCTATGAAAAGACTTAGCTACCCTGATCAAGACAATGATCCAGGGGGCAGCTACATGGCGCAGTGGATAGAGCACCGGCCTTGGATTCAGAAGGACCTGAGCTCAAATCCAACCTCAGACACATAACACTTACTAGCTGTGTGACCCTGGGCAAGTCACTTAACCCCCACTGCCTAGCCAAAAAAACAGACAATGATCCAAGACAGTTTCAAAGGATTCAAGATAAAAAATGCTATTCACCACTAGAGCAAAAACTGATGAAGTCTGAATGCAAATTTTTCACTGTATTTTTCTGGCCTTTTTTTGCAACATGACAAAGATGGAAATATGTTTTACATGTTTTCACATGTATAACTGATATCATGGTGCTTGCCTTTTCAATGGGTAGAGGAAGAGAATTCGGAACTCAAAAAAAAAAAGGCAAGGGTACACGAAAAATAAATAATAATTTTGATAATGGGGGAAAAATAAATAAAGTAATTCACATTTAGGTTTTGGCCTACATTTCCAGGCTTACAACCCATTACTCTCCTTTCACACATCCCATGGTCCAGTTAAACTGGCCTATTTGCTGTTCAACTGAAACAACATGCCATCTCTCATTTTAGGGCCTTTGCAAAGACTATCTGCCATGCTTGGAAGTGCACTCTATCTTCATTTCCACTCTGTAGAATTCCTACAGAGGCTCCTTTGAGGCTCAACTAATGTACCTATCTACTACCTGTTCCTCCCTGTGACTAGTGCCCTTCCACTCAGAGATTATTTCATATAAATTATGTTCTTCTTGTATTCTCTCAATAAAATGCAAGCTCTTTGAAAGCATGGATTGTTTAATTTTTGTTGCAATATTCCCATTACCTGGTATAGCAGAAGCTTAATAAATGTTTGTTTAATGGTCTCTAAAGCTGAAATGGAGATTGGATTCTGGTGCTCCTAAAGGCAAAGGAAAAGCTATATAGAAGCAGCTGGGGAAGTGGGGTGAAGGAAGAGTGCAAAATGTGAAAAACTTGATTGGACTTGCACTGAGGAATAAGAGACTTCCCTTGTGACTTGCTGTGACTTTTCTCAGTTTTTAAAGGATTAATAAAGATAAAGTTAAAAATACAAAAATAAAAAACTAACCAATCTGCTAATTTCTTCTTGTCTATCAGGAGCAGATCTTGCGGTTGCCTTGATCATGGTGGATGTTTGATTGTCAGTCAGCTTCTTAATGCACCGTTGTCCTGCCACAATATTACAGACCTACAAATGGGAATAAAGATTATGGTCTAGATGTCACTTAAGTTCTTTTTAAAAAAGAAAAGAAAAGAAAAGAAAAACATTCCTTACATAATTTGGTGTGATGAATCTATTTCCACAAACCTCTAACGAAATAGGTGATGCAAGGGATAGAGCACTAGGTCTGGAGTCTGGAAGACTGGAGTTCAAATCTGTCCTCAGACACTTATTAGCTGGATGACCCTGAGCAAGTCACTTAACCTCTGTGTCTCAGTTTCCTTATCTGTGAAATGGGGAAAACAATAGCCTCTACCTCCCAAGATTGTTGTGAGGATCAAATGAAATAATATTTGTTAAATGTTTAGCACAGTGCTTGGCACTTAAAAAAATGCTTATTCCTTCCTTCTCAAAGTTTACTTTAATGAACTTTTGAAAATACCAGAGATATTTTTTTTTTATATTTTTAAAGGGATAGTTTGTGGAATTTAATTTATAACTTTGCTTATTTATTAGAAGGAAGAGTAAGGAAAACTGTAAAAAATTTGAACACCTTAGGGATACTTGATGGATCACAGCCTATCTACATGTTCTAATAGTTCCCAAGGTGCAGCTAGAGTGCCAGGCCTGGAGACATGGAGACTCATCTTCCCCAGTTCAACTCTGGCCTCAGACCCTTACTAGCTGTGTGACCACAGGCAAGTCACTTAACTTTGTTTGCCTCAGTTTCCTCATCTGTAAAATGAGCTGGAGAAAGAAACGGCAAACCACTCCAGTATCTTTGCCAAGAAAACCCCAATGGGGTCATAAAGAGTAGGACATGACTGAACACCAACAACAAAAAAAACCCCAAACAATTCCCAAAGACACAAATGAAAAGCCATGACAAGCAGCATTAATTACTTCCAGAGGCAGGTAAGTATGCTTCTGCTCCTGTCCCACTTGAAGACAGGGAAGGTGAGGATACTTCAGCTGGAGGTTGTACTTCTCTCTGAAATATTGTGCTACTGTCCTTTCTACAGTCTGGCCATTTTCTAACTGTAAAGGAAAGCTGGAAAACAGAGGAAGACTTTTAGAAATATCATGGAAAGTAAGATCATCGATTATCATCCTATTAGGAATGAGCAAAGCTCCCAATCCATTTAGTGCTAGAACATTTCCTACACATTGTCTGTCCACTTACAAATACCAGCTTCTCTTACGTTTGATGACTGGCAGGTCTCCTTGTTACATTACAAACACGATATTTCCGCCTCATTGTTCCACAATGAGTCACTTCAACCTTCAGACCTGTACCCAACAACAAAAACTGGGGTTACAAACTGCATATAAAATGCATTTGCAATTGAACATGTAAAACAATAGAAGAACCTGTCTACTACCACAAGAGCTTAAAGAGTCACTTCTGAACAGATAAACAAAAATGTTCAGAGGACTAATTGGCAGTGAAATACTATTAATCAACAAGTTCCTAATTCTCATGATACCCATTGCAGTCCCCTCCAAAGGCTCTATACCTTAAACAATGAAACTACTGTAAATTCAGTAACCCCTACAAGTATGGGACAAAGGTTACTATAAACAAACAAACAACTAATGGTCATAAAATCCAGGTGTTTGGAAGGGAAACTACGAAGATGTAAATAATATTAAGATGATTCTGTTCTTCACTTTGAAAATATAGAATTGGGGGCAGGTGGGTGGTACAGTGGATAGAGCACCAGCCCTGGAGTTAGGAGGAGGACCTGAATTCAAATCTAGCCTCAGACACATGATACTCACTAGCCCTGTGACTCTAGGCAAGTCACTTAACCCTGATTGCCTCAAAAAAAAGAAAAGAAAATATAGAATGTGTGATAAGCCTGATTTACTAACATACTGACTAGGGACCAGAACTCCATAAACCAGTGAAAGGAAGTTCTTGACAAGTTTATTGAGTAAGAGGTGACTTGAACAGGACCTCTGTATACAAGTGGAGCTATTCTCTAAACAGCTATCTTATTCTTGGCTACTGGGGGCAAGAGACAACCTAAATGCTTCCTAGACTTCCTAAAAGATTTTGCTTCGATACTTTTTTTGGTGATATACTTCTTAAAGACATGTTAGACAATTATTAACTGAGTCAATAAGGAAACAGAAAATTTTACTGGTAAGTCCTTGAGGTGACTCCTACAAAAATTTAGATCAATCAAAACTCAGACTATTTTTCTGTAGAATAATAAAGGCTAAGAAAATAAAATATGGTGAGAAACATTACAAAAACATATACTAAAGGTGTATGTATTGCATAGTAAAGTACTAAGTGAGGAAAATATTTCAAATAATAAAACTGCAAAAAGAAATGCCTGGTTGTCTGAATCATTTGAATAAATTGTGAGTGATTTCCTGTCTTAATTGGACAGTCATTTTCATTAATAAAAAGCTCTGCAAACATCCCAAGTAAGTTTCAAACTCTTACTGCAACTACCATTTTCATTACATTATAAAAATAAACTTCCCTCAAGATTTCTGCTGTCCAACTATTAAAGATGGCTAAATTAATCAATATTTCCTAAATTATTATTAAATATTAAAAGAAATACAAGAAAAAATTCAACTGGAAGCAAACCAATACCATGGAAAATGAGAGTTTATGCTTCCACTTCATGCATGGTACACTTTGTACCAATATGCCTGTCATCAGGGTTCTTTCTGGGACTAGATGGAAAATGAAGTATAGTTTTCATTTAAAGCATGAAAGACTTTGAAATTCTGAGTTTGCTTGACTTTCTAATGTTGGTACACAAACACAAGTTTTTATTATCTCTTTAAAACTGTCTTCCTGACATCAGGAAGAGGAGAAAAAAAAAAATCAATCTGTCAATGAGAAGTACTTAAATGTTACTATTTGGGAAACATACTATTAGCCAGTCACCAACCCCCACTTTCCCAAACATAAGACAACAGAAGCTAAATATTCAGATCGTTGTCTAAAGAGTATAAAAAAGCTGAGTTTTTAAAATGTGGCTAAATGTTTTGGTGCCCAGTCCCCTCCCCACCACCTCCACCCAACCAAAAGTTTGGTTGGCTTTAATTAAATATTTAACCTATAAACTTGGCTTTACCTTCACTATAACATCAACTTTATAATGATTTCTAGTGATTTTTCAGTCATTTCTTTGGGCCCCTGAGCAGTTGAAGTTAAGCTCGATTCCATGCTCTTCGGGCAGCAGCTGAATCCTTGTTCTGTACATCTTGTATTTTCTGTGATAGAGTGGTGATATGAGTTGATTGCATAGTTACCGCAAAGTAATGTATGTGATTTTATGAGATTGAGGTGGTAACTAAGCAGCAACTCCATTGGAAACTATGGCATTTAGATGGTAACGTATTAATGGTTCTGTACTATCTCCTGGAAAATGCAAACTGTGCTGTTAATGCTAATCACATAAAGAAAATGGCATAGTAGCAAGATGAAATAAAGGTTTATTGTTGTACCACTTGAGCTGCATTAAAAAACTAAGATAAAACTAAGATGCTTATTTTCAAAGCAGGAGAAATTTCCCTTCTAATCTTTCCTCTCCTGGCGACAGGCACAGTATTAATGTCTGTTGGGGAAGGGGACATCACTTCTCAGTACTATTTGACATTCTAAAACATTTATAGTGGACTGCTTGAATGGTCTACTCTAGCCCATTGAACCAAAACTCACATTCACCAAGAATAGTTTTTAAAAACAAGATATATCTGTTCTTGGGTATGGACATTCTGTAAATTTATTATCGTTACATTAAATGGAAGCTGTGCCACTCAGGTAATAGGAAAATTAATTTGCTCAGAATCACTATTCCAAGTAACTGTACACAGGCTTTTGCCACTGGGCTAAAAGTGTTAAGATTTCTATGAATCAATGGCTAACTATGTGACCAACTGTAATTACCCTTAGTCTGCACTATTCCAGGACAACACATGTTAAATTACAGGGTTGATAAGCTCCACATTCCAAATGTTTTTAAACGAACAGAAAGTAGAGAGCACTTGACTGAGGTAATGTCTGACAATCTACATTATATCATTTCACAGAAACTTAAGAAAAGTCACTGTATTAGAACAGTGTCAAAGATTAAGTACTCCAGCTTTGAAAATTAAACACCTGGGAGATGAGTCTCCTACTTTTAAGAGCATGGCAAAAGCTGGATCCCATCAACACCCCAACTTCTCCATCTAGGGTAGGTCTGGTATCCAGTCAAAACACTAGCCAGCACAAATTTTATTTTGCATAATAATGGGTAACACTACTTTCAAAAAGCACAGAATATTTTCATTATTTGCTATTTCATTTTTTGCAGATGAAGCAAAATAAAGCCCTACCTAAGATGCTGTAGATATGAATGCACATGACAGTTCAGGGAACATTCTTACTTCTGATGTGTGATACATGAAAAAGTACTTGGATTATGAAACAAAATTTCAAAGAAAGCTGTAATCATCACTCCATCTTTGGTCATTATATAGAAGTTATTTCAGACATCCTTGTCTACTCACCCTTTATCTCTTTGGTGAATTTTACCCGATGAGAATCAGTCAGAGGTCTTGGTTGTTCATCAATATTATGAATGTCAAGGACTTCACACATGAACTGAATTACAGGTTGTGCTTTGTAGAAGGCAGTGGCAGAAACTATAAGGAGAAAAAATTCTAAATAATCAAGGGAATCTTCTATCATCTTTACCTTTGCAGAGAGTTCAAATGCTACTTAAAAGAAATATCAAGATCTAGAGTTCATCAATAGTACATTTAACAAAAGTTACTAACACACCAATTTTAGGTTTGTTTTTAAAACCCTATTCATGAAGCATGATCCTAGCCTAATTAGTGGTAGATAACCACCTAAACCACTAAAGAATGAATCTTCTTTATACAATTCTTTTCTTTAGTGAAGTTAATATCATACAGCATTACTCAGTCCAATTTCATTGCACAAATAAGGAAACAAACTCAAAAAGTTGTGACTTGTGCATGGTCACATGGGAAGCAAGTGGTAAAATTGGAATTTAAACAGGTTATCTGGCTCCTCACCTGGTGCTGTTTCCATGATACTATACTAATTTTAAAAGTGATTGAGGCAAACTGATATTAGTGGTACTGAATGAGTTATTAATATTACTGATAATAAAATCTAGAAGTAGGTTTTCTAACAAATCTGTGACAAGATTTTTTTGGTTGTCACTTTCTTTTTCCTCCTCAGAGAAAAGAAAAAAATCTAGCCAACTGAATAGGCTATTTATTATTATTGTTGTTGTTGTTATACCTGCCTTTTGTCATCACGAAGCCCAAAGGCTCATGTGAATGAGGAAAATATGTAAAAAGTTCAGAGAAGAGGCAAGAAATATAGCAAATTTTAACTCTCCTGTCAACACAATCAAGATATGTTACAGATTAGATCTGATGCAATTCTCCTAGTCCTGTGAGTCATGTTATGCTTCTTATTCAGTTCCTTCTTCTGGCTTGTCTCTAGGCTAGGTCATTGTTCCTCCATAATAGGGCAGTAAAATTAAATTTTTTTATTTCACAAGAAACTTGTAGAGGTCAAGGAAGAATTAAAATTAAATTAAAATTAAAATCAATGACTAAAATGAAGTTTTCAAGAAATGAAATTCACATCTTTTAAGTGTTCTACTTTCCTTCACTTATTGGCTGGGAAAGTCAATTAGTTACACCCTGCTAAATTCTAAGCACTATGGAGTTAAGGCGGATGTCTCCTTCTTCTCACCTAGCAGTGCCTTGTCAATAAGAGACATTTATTTAATAGTTGTCAAAGAGATGCTTTCCTTGCTATGCCAATAGCCTACATTAGAAAAAGTAAACAAAGCTATATAAGATATATGCAATAAATAAAGGATTCAAAGGGTTTTTCTTAAGCATTGTCCTTTCCAACGTTACTGATTTATTTAGAAGTTAGAGAAATTTCGTGTGCGCAAGACAGAGACAGACTTGCTTTTGTACTTTCAAGCTATTCCTCACTTTTTGCTGCAATGTATTTCTGAAAACCATAGCATGAAGAAGGTAATCATAATGTTGACGAGCTCTTCCCATAAGAATTATACTATAATTGGGGTTTCATTCCTGATCAAAGAGTAAGACTCAAATAAAGCTATGTCACAAAAGCAAAGATACAACTAAAAAACCTCACATTTATTAAATGCTTTATATATATTATCTCATTTGAGCCTCACTACCACTCTGAGAGGTAGGTTGCATAAGTATAATTGCCCCATTTATAAGACGAGGAAAAAAAGGCTTAAAAGAGGGGAAGTAACTAAGTAACTATGTCCTTGTTCTAGTAAGTGACAGAATCAGGACACAAGTTTTTTGACTCACAGCCCAGTGTTCCTTCTGCTGTAACCCTTTTTGGAGGGATCCAAGCTGCCTCATGCTATACCATGTTGGATTTACTGGAGCAGCATTCTCTGAAGTTTCTATTACTATGGTCAGCAATCAACCAACAGGAATTAATTAAATGCCCAAGAAATTGTGCTAGGAATTATAAAAGGTAGTCATTTTTTAGGTGCGTGATTATGAGGAGGTTATTTAAGTTTGAGGAACTTCAGTTTTCAATTTTGTAAATCAGGGATATGATCTATTACAACTTGTTGGACAGGGTTGTCACAAGAATAAAGTGAGACCAAAAATGTATAGTATGTCATCTGTAGCTATAAAGCACCACATGACTCACCACACTTAGCAACAAGGGCTTATTCCAGCTAACTATTTTGAGATAAGGTATATTCTTTCACCCCAAATCTTTAGAAATTAAAAGGTGATATCTATTTTGCCAAATGGTATTTTGATACCAAGCATCTGGAAGAACAGAAACAGTTGATTGAAGGCAATAAAAACTCACTTGGGTTAATATATGAAGTCTGTATGAAACTTCAGAATGAAGATTTCATGCTACTATAACCAATATTGATCAATATTTTATATAAAAAACACTAAAATTATTTTAGCTTTTCTAGTCAGCACAGTATGAGAAGTAGCTTGTGAGTAACTATCCATAAAACTATTTCAAGTGAAACAAAGAGATTTGTATTAAAGCCTGGCCATGCAGATTTTGTGTCTATGAACAGCTCTCTTTCTCCCAGTTTTTTCCCTACCTAAGATTAGTAGGGCAGCTAGATGGTGCCATAGATAAAGTGCCAGATCTAGAATCAGGAAGACCCTAGTTCAAATCCTGCCTCAGACACTTATTAGCTAGATGACCTTTGGCAACTCACTTCACCTGTTTACCTCAGTTTCCTCATCTGTAAAATGGAGATAACAATTGCCTCTACCTCCCAGGGTTGTTGTGAGGATCAAATGAGACAATAATTGTAAAGCAATTAGCACAGTGCCTGGCACATAGTAAATAATGTATAAATTTTAGCTTTAAGTGTTATTTTATAGGGAAAGTGACACAGTAAATAGTAGAAAGTGGATGTTGCACCCAGTATACATAAAGAGGTGAAAGCCAGAGAAAAAACCAAACCAAACAAAGCCAATGTTACTATTTTTTTCATTTGAACAAGCTATTCACTAGGATCAATCTTCTAGTAAAAATTCTTTAGGTACAAAACCTCAGTCATCTCTCACTGACTTCAATATCCACAATTAGTCAACAAATTTTATCAATTCTTCCTTAGAAATCCCTTCTACCCCCCCCCCCCCCCATTTCAAATGCTACCATCCTAGGCTGGGCCTTCATCACATGTCACGACCCAACTATTCATCTAGCCCCAATCCAGCATGGACGTGTTGCCAGAATAACCTTCCTAAGAGACCACTTTCATCATATCATCTGCGCAGGTTCTTCCTAACATCTAAAATACACTGCAATTTTGCCTGCTAAAATCTTCCTTTTCCTTTAAGGCTGAGCTCAAATACCAATTCCTCCACAAATTCTTCTGATTCCTTCAAGATGAATACAATGGTCCTCTTGCTCCTATCATATTCTACAAGTATTATCTTTGTTGGCGGTAGGAGAAGGTGTGCATGTACACGTGCATATATTTTATATATCAATAAATATATATACATCATATTATATAAACATATATATACATTCATATGTACATATGCATGCACATATGTGTATGACCCATTCAATTAGGCTGTAAAGTTCTTGGAAAGATTTGGGTCAGTTTTTTTCCCCAACACTGAGCATAGCATGCCCTTTTATAAATGTTTGTTGAATCAAATCACTCCACTGGTCAAAAACCTTCAATGATTTCCCAATGCCTAGAAAATTAACACTGAAATTTCTCAGCCTTGACTAGTGGTATTAATTTTGTCAAATCTCTTTAAAATTTGATCCCAAGTTACCTTTACCAACCAAGCCACTATCCTATACCAAAATGGTCTACTAACTTCTAAATATATTATGCATACTGAATTTATGATTTAAAACTATTGTTTTTTTTACTCCAATAATAGCTATTTGGAAAATGATGCTATAAATCCCAAATCTATCTACCTATCCCAAATTTATCTCCAAACCTCATTTATCTAGATGAGAATAAAAAACATGCACCCTAAGTAACCCAAATGGATTCTATCCAATTAATATTTGTCAAATGCCTATACATATGCAAAACACTGGCTTTCACAATGGGGACAGGAAGATTAAAACAAACACAGGCCCTTTCCCTTTAGGAACTAACAACCTAAAAGGAAATGAAGACATACACATAAATAAGTATGGTAAAAGCTGGAAGGTAATAAGGACAAAAAAAAGTTCCAGGCAAAGAATTAAAAGAATTTAAGAAACAAGAAATCATTTTCAGCAGAAATGCGAAAGGGTTTCATAAGCTTGGAATTATACTGCAGGTATGGAGGGTGTTTAAAGACTGAAATATAGCCTCAGTCAAAACAATGTTTGCAGGAGACTATTATGAACTAAAGCACCAATTCAGCATATGTATGATCTGAAAAGACTGCAATAAGTTTAGTTCATTTTTAAAGTATTTTCATCCAAAACAGACTAAAGTTAAAAAACAAAACCAAACTATTTTGGACCTAAAGGGTGAAACCACAAGCTATCTAGAACAATTAATTTTCTACTAATTGTTGTTGTTGTTGTTTGTCCTTCATTCTCAAAGAGGACCATGATGTCAGGAAGGTGATGCCATGATGTGCAAGGGAATTGGATTTAAGTGAGGAAAGGCTGTACAAGGTCACCGGCCTCACTTTCTCCTCTGGAGCCATCTGGGCCCAGTGGCAAGAAACAGGTCAGAATGACTGGAGATGGATCCCTTTGCTACTAACAGCAAACAGCCAAAAGTTTACTTTAATAGTAATTACTAAGTAAATCAAAAGGTCTCATACAAGAAGTTACTGAAGTGTTTTACATATAAAAACAAGTTAAATACTTTACTGTGACAAGACTAGAGTTAAGTAAAGGCTGGAAGGTAGGTTGGTTGCTCTATTACTTCTTAGTAGGTCTCAAAAAGTGATAGATAGCCTTTGACCCAGTAATAGCACTTGCAGGGCTGTATTCCAAAGAGATCATAAAAATGGGGAAAGGACCCACATGTACAAAAGTATTTATAGCAGCTCTTTTTGTGGTGGCAAAGAATTGGAAATTGAGGGGATGTTCATCAATTAGGGAATGGCTGAACAAGTTGTGTTATATGAATGTAATG